CATGGAACAAAGATCCTGATATTACGTTTAGTTGGAAATGTATAAATCTGGCTACTGGTTCAAATTGCACAGATTCAAATAAAGAACCCTTAGAATTAAATGTAACTGATTCTACATAGACATTTAAACCTAGGGTCTTAGATCCCTATTAACCACTATAATTTGTTATGAGAAATACTAAAAAGTCAACTATTTTAATTACGTAAATTATTTTGTTGGTTATTGAAAATGATTTACCTAATATTTAAGTAAGTTACCCATCAGGATATGATAGTAGATAAATATTATTACATGAGGAACTTAATTTTACTTTAGCAACAACTGTTGATCCTGATTCCTTAAAGTATTTTTGTTAAATTATATACAATTATAATATTGTGGCATCATTTACATTTAAGTTTTTATAAGTTAAGTTCCGTATTTGGGACTATTGGGAAGATACTGATCAATCAATAAATGGAATCTAAATTAAAATGGCTGCTAAAGATATTTATCATTATATGCCATCAACTTCATCTGTTAATTTATTATTGAATATACCACCCAGTAATTGTAAATTTACTATAATTCCATCTACTGGGACATCTATAACTGATCTATTTGTTTTGTCAGTTACCAATTGTAATGATGTTTAGCTTCCTTTATAATATCAATTTCATATTTATTCAAGTCAAAAAACTATGGATAATGATAATTTGATAGGAGAAACAATAAATAAAAAGTCTATAACAGATAAATAATCAAGTCCTTAATTATAATTAGTATTACCAACTCCTATAAATCCTGATAATAGTATTGCTTATGAATTAGTACTTGTTGCTAGTATTTTTGATAATAATAATGGAATGAAGAATCTTACAAAAACAGTTAAAATTAAAAGTATTTATTAAAAAGTAGAAACATCAGATTTTTAATCTATTTTATTATAAATTAGAAGAGCACTTAAATTAAGTGATACAATAGATGAATCATCTCTTCCTTCTTTATTTATTGGAAGTTAAGAATTATCAACTTTATATAATTAATTATAACCAGAAAAAAAAGCATAAATGAAAAGTATTCTTAAAGATATTTATAATATTTTATAATCATTTTAAGGTAAAATGACAAGTAAAGTTTTAGAAGAATCACTTTTATCATCTATAGCAGCTATTGGTAGAACTGGTATTAATTATGAAATGGATGATTCTGATGTTGTTGATTTCTATACAATTAAATAATAAATTAAGAAAACAGTTAAATAATTAAATAGATAAATAAATGAATTAGATTATTTTTTAAAATAAAAATCAAAATCAGGAGGATCAACATCAAAGTTTGAAGATGCAATAAAAGCATTAGATAATACTTTATTAAATAGTGGTTTTGTAACTGATACTATATTTAATGCAATTAAAAATAATTAATTTTAAGGAGCAGATGTTACAGATGCAGATGTTAATTTATTAAAAGAATAAATATAATAAATCAATAAATTAGTAGCAATAGCTACTCTAAAAAGAAGTTTAGCTAATGAAAAGCCTAGATAATATGCAGGNATAGTAGATAAATATTATTACATGAGGAACTTAATTTTACTTTAGCAACAACTGTTGATCCTGATTCCTTAAAGTATTTTTGTTAAATTATATACAATTATAATATTGTGGCATCATTTACATTTAAGTTTTTATAAGTTAAGTTCCGTATTTGGGACTATTGGGAAGATACTGATCAATCAATAAATGGAATCTAAATTAAAATGGCTGCTAAAGATATTTATCATTATATGCCATCAACTTCATCTGTTAATTTATTATTGAATATACCACCCAGTAATTGTAAATTTACTATAATTCCATCTACTGGGACATCTATAACTGATCTATTTGTTTTGTCAGTTACCAATTGTAATGATGTTTAGCTTCCTTTATAATATCAATTTCATATTTATTCAAGTCAAAAAACTATGGATAATGATAATTTGATAGGAGAAACAATAAATAAAAAGTCTATAACAGATAAATAATCAAGTCCTTAATTATAATTAGTATTACCAACTCCTATAAATCCTGATAATAGTATTGCTTATGAATTAGTACTTGTTGCTAGTATTTTTGATAATAATAATGGAATGAAGAATCTTACAAAAACAGTTAAAATTAAAAGTATTTATTAAAAAGTAGAAACATCAGATTTTTAATCTATTTTATTATAAATTAGAAGAGCACTTAAATTAAGTGATACAATAGATGAATCATCTCTTCCTTCTTTATTTATTGGAAGTTAAGAATTATCAACTTTATATAATTAATTATAACCAGAAAAAAAAGCATAAATGAAAAGTATTCTTAAAGATATTTATAATATTTTATAATCATTTTAAGGTAAAATGACAAGTAAAGTTTTAGAAGAATCACTTTTATCATCTATAGCAGCTATTGGTAGAACTGGTATTAATTATGAAATGGATGATTCTGATGTTGTTGATTTCTATACAATTAAATAATAAATTAAGAAAACAGTTAAATAATTAAATAGATAAATAAATGAATTAGATTATTTTTTAAAATAAAAATCAAAATCAGGAGGATCAACATCAAAGTTTGAAGATGCAATAAAAGCATTAGATAATACTTTATTAAATAGTGGTTTTGTAACTGATACTATATTTAATGCAATTAAAAATAATTAATTTTAAGGAGCAGATGTTACAGATGCAGATGTTAATTTATTAAAAGAATAAATATAATAAATCAATAAATTAGTAGCAATAGCTACTCTAAAAAGAAGTTTAGCTAATGAAAAGCCTAGATAATATGCAGGTTAATAAATGGGTATGTAAGCATATAAATCTACACCTGCTTAAATAAACAAAATATTAAGTGGATCTATAACACCTAGATTTTTTGGAGGCAGCTCTTAGGATACGTCAACTAATGGTTTATAAGGAACTGGTAGTGATGATAATTTAAATTTAGAAGAAGAAGAAGATGAAATAAATTATGATGAATATCTTTCTATTTTAAATGGAACATATAATAAAAATGACACAAATAGTACAAATAGTACAACTAATACAAATAGTACAAATTCAGGAGGTTAAAGAAGACTTCTTTAATTTGTTGATTGGATTTAAAATAAAAATAATGTTCATTATTTAAGAAATTTATAATAAATAGATCCTGTTGCTGTTAAATAATATGAAGTTAGTATGTCTAATTTTGCAACAAGTCCTAATTTAAATGATCCTAAATTTTAAACTTAACTTAAAGTTAATTAAACAAATGAAGTTTCAAACACATCAAATATAACTCGTGATTAATCAATAGTTAGTAATTTTGGTACAATATAACCAAATATCACAATGACAGAAAGTGGTTAAAGTACAGAAATAAAAACACTTGATGGTCAAACCATTAAATTATCATTTCAAGCTCCATAAAATGATAGTGCTAATTCAACTATGGAATGCTTTTCCGAAGCAAAAGATACTTGGGAAACTGGTACATGTAAAATAAAGAAAGATGTAGATTCTAAAGGTAATATAGCATATGTATGTGATTGTGTTGTTGTTAATCCTACAACAGTCATAACAAAATTAGATAGTTTTATTTCAAATAAATTAAATACAGTATTCAATGCTGATTCTTTTGACATCTTTTTACAAATTTAGTTTTGGAAATATGCAATTTTCTATATAGCTATAGGATTTACAGGTGCTTATGTTACACTCATGGTTATTGGATTAAGAAAGGATAATTAAGATTTTATAGAAGAAATTACTAAGGAATTATAATTTACTGATGAAAACGTTCCTGAAAACATAAAAAAATTGAAACAACAAATAAATGATCTAATAATTGTGGAGTAGAGTAATGAAAACTCAATGGATGTAGAGGAAGATAATAAACCAGTAGTGAGGAAAGAAGATATGAACAAATTAGCTTTATTTACTTTAAAGGCTTAAAGCGATTTGGAGTTCAAAAAAGATGACGAAGGTAATTTAATAGTTCCTGAAGAGAGGGATGCCAATATTTTAAATTAGAGAGAGATTCAAAGTTTATAAGTAGAAAGAAATAGAAATAAAATAAATTTTAAATAAGTTCAAGATTAATTATAATAACATTAATTATATAATCCTACAACAAATAAATAATCAGGAAGAGCAACAGAATTATCTAAAGTAATAAAGAATGTATATACAATTCATGATTTAAAATATCAACATGGTTAAGAAATAAAACTTAAACCATTAACTTTAAAAGTACTTTGGGAAGGAATATTGGTAATATTTTTTTATATTAACTTTAGACTCTTCATAGAGTATTATAAATATTGATGTTATATGATGATATAATAAGTAGACCAGCTAGATTTGCTTTGATATATGCTAAAACTATTTTAGTATTAGCATTATCTGCATTATTTTCAGGTAATATGGGACCTGTTTATGGTACTCTTATATCAGTTGGAATTGGTTAAGTCATTAATGTTATTTTATCTATTATTACAGTTACAATGAAAGCATCACCAATTCTTAAATTTTTAGGTATTTTATTAACAATTGCAATCTCTGCTGTTTGTTGGTTTATTGTTTTGATGCTTTCTGCAAGTATGGAAGAAACATAAGTATTTTTTATTATTAATATTATTTTAGGCAAATATGTGGGCAGTATAATTTGCATCAACTTAAGTTATTGATCTAATCATTGTAGAATTCCTTGTTATTTCTCTTAAACTTGCTATCTATCCCTGGGCAATTAAAGCCTTACACGATCCAGATTCAAACGCTTCAAAAATACTTGCCAATTTGCTATTTATAGCAGTTGCTTAGCCATAAATCTCAAAGTTCTTTGAGGTTGAGGATAAGAAAGATAATAATTTTGAAGCATGAGAATATGATCAATAAAATATCATTAATAATATTCTATATGATTTCATTAATATTAATTAATATATTAATAGTAATTAGTTCATTAAAAAGACAACTACTAAATATTGTTAGGATAAAAATAAATTCAATATTATTTAGATAACAATTGTTACTATAAAGCATAGTGTTTTATATTTAATTGATTATCCCTTTCTTACATTTTATTTTAATAATGGCCTTTAAGATCATCAGGCACAATTTCTTCAACACCTTTACGATTCTCTCCTATTGATATAGAATTGGAATTGTATACCTGTCAGTAAATTATAACCACAGTTAGCTCTATGATCTAAATTTTAGGCTCTTACTAGTTATCTCACTTATGTCATGTCATCTTGTCTTTTTAGTGCTTAACCTTATTCATTTTAAGCATACTCTAATGTTAAAGGATTGTATGCTAATCCATTTAAATTTCTTTTGCCTTATGTATATTACTCTTAATGATATTATCTTTTTAATTCATCCTACAATGATGAAAACAAATACTTTTTATTGATAAAGTTCATTTCTTTGCCAAATCATACCTTCTCTTTCTAAATTAGCTATTCTTCTTGATTCATATTATAACTGTTTTTATTTATTTTAATATTCCCTTTGTTATTTATCTTCAACAGCAAAATCCTTTAAGAACCTTTCTTATTCTACAAGATTTATATTAATAATACCCTATTAAAATAAAGTAGTATTTGGTGCTGGATTATGTAATAGTGTTTTCATGTCTTCTTTTTAAGGTGTGTCAAATTCTTCAAACTTTAAATAAGAGTTTACATCTTGATTGCATTACTGTTTATTAAGAATTGACTTCTTTTAAATACTCCTAACATTTTAAAATTACATATTACTCTTTCTGCTCTAGTTCTGGGTTATTAATTGTAATAAGGTTGCTGATTCTAAGATTTGAATATTCCAGCACCATAACTCATTGAAGAAGGTTAGTAAATATCTTTAGGATTGTAATCTTATTATTGAGAGAAGAGCATAAGTTATTAATATTAATACAATATTTATATGAAAGTATTCATTTATTATATATCCGCCTGTAAAGCATATCAATGATGTAACAAATCCAGAAAATGACAAATATAACAAAAAAAATTGTAACAATTACAAAACTTAATGGTGATAACAATATGCAAGTAATAGATTATAAAGAAATATAAGCTGTTTTCTTGCAACAATTATAATTCTTAAACTCTTATGATTGGAAATAGTCCAAATTGTAAATAGCAGGCAATATAAAAGTTAATAAAATAAATCCAATTATAAATCCAATCAAAAATATGGGACCTCCAAATATTAGAAGAAATAAAAATCTTAGAAATCTAACTACATTTGGATATTTATAAGGGTCTCTATGAGAATATTACATTCCAGGACAACCAAATATATTGTAATATTTAAAATGGTATATTGTATATTTTTATTTGCAAAGCCAACAAAATTGGTATTTACATTATGAACAAACTATATGATTACATCCATCATTTTTTTGAATAAGCGATCTACATTAATTACATTTCAATATTTTAAATTTCTTAGCAGTCTCCATTAAATCTTAATCTAATTAATCCTTGCAAGATTAGGTTATATGAAATTTTCTATTGCATTTATTGCAAATAAACTATCCACATATGCATTTAATTTTTTGCTCTTAACTTTTTTTTCTTATAATCTCTTCACAACCAGGTCTAGGACACCAAATGATATTTTAATCACTTTAAACCATTTTGATCTTTCTAAATCTCTTTAATTTATTCATATTTTCTTAATCTATTATAGATCCCATGATATCATCATTTAATTTAAATTTACATTGAATTTAAGGACAATTAATCTCTTCGACTTATCCATTACTAATCTTATCGACTATATAATTATTCAGGCAATCTCTAATATTATTTTCATTAAGTACAAACAAAATTGATGATAACAATCTAATTTAATATTTTAGTTCTTCAATTCATTTAAACAAATAGTGCAAGTTACACTTAATAAATTTTCTTATTCTCCCTTGTAATTATTTTGATAGTTTAAATAACTAAAAAGATTGGGAATTGTTTTTCCTATCAACTATTTGATTTATTGAAAATAATGTCCTTATTACTATTTAGATATTGCCTTAGGAAATGACTATCTTATATAATATGTAATTTACATCCATCAAAAGAATAGTCTAAATGACTCTATGTAAAACTACATTTTCATCATTTTACATAATAATATCATCTTCCATATTATCTAAGATATATAAAGCCTTATTTTAATCCAATCCTAGTTCATTAATTCGAGTAAGGATGAATTTTTCTTTAAGTTTCTTTTAGCCATCCTCTATTATTATAGGAAGAGAATTTCTTCTAATAGTATGAAATTAATTTGATTCCAACTATTCTAATTAATCACTGTAATCTGATTGTGATTTAGTTTCATGTTACTCTAAATTAAAATATGACATCAACACTATAATTAATTTATATAATATTAAATTGCATTCACAAATAGATAACATTCAATTTTATCAAATATATCAATTGAAGCCTAATTAAGCTATAATATAAATGCAATTTAATGATTTATTGATATCCAAAAATATTTTAAACTATACTTTTTTTAAGAGATTTAGCTTTTATTGTAAAATTATGATAGATTCAATAACTGTTAAATTTGAAATACTTTAACTTTGAATAATTTTAATTTCTGATAGATCAATCATTAACTAATTTAATTAAGCTTTTGTATATTATAAAAGATTGGAAAAGATGAATTATACTCCTATTTTACAATTACTTTATTTTAAAAGTTTATATTACTAAAGAATAAGAATGAATTTGAGTAATTAATAATATTATCGTTAAAGATTATAGACTCTAATTGAGTTCACATAGTTTATTTGAAAAACACCTTAAGATACAAGTTGATCCTTTACTTTCATGAGAATTAAAATTATTAAAATTCTAAAAATTCTTTAAATTGTATGATTCCCATAGTTCCATTTTTAAAATCATTTGTTTAAGAAGGGTAACAGTTCTTTACTGCTAAAGATGAATTCGAAAAGAAACAAAATGAATTAATGTAATTTATATTAGATATAACTTAATCATTGGATTAAGTGGAATATTTCGATAATATACAAGAAGAATTATATACTAATGAAGAAAAACAATTTATAAAGTAATGTAAAGATCTTTTGCACCTAAGTGAACAGCTAGTCCAATAATTACCATCCAATTTAACTTTGTAAAATATTTGATTTATATAACATTAAGAATAAATGGTTATTTATATAGTAAAACTAGCCACTACAAAGAATTATTACATCATTTGGAAGAACTTAATAAAATAAGTTCCTAAATTCGTTAATTAGAATTACAATCATATGAAGTCTTAAAAACAGTGATAGTTCCCAGTTTATCAAGAAAAGTGTCATTCTAATGTAAATAATGATTTTTAAATTAAAGCGATGCATGAAGTTTCGATATTTCTTAAACTTAAAGCCCCTAAAGAAATAAAAGAAATCTTTAATTAATACCCTAGACATTTAAAAAGTGAATATACTTTTAAGATTCATATTGATGACAATGACCATTCCAAAAATGTTTACAATTTTTCAAGAAAGGAATTTATGAAATTGTAATAAATAAAAAAAGATGCTCAAATTTATACTATTTCAAAAAAGTAACACTGTACTTTAGAATTAAGAAATATTTAATAAAATTAATTTATAAAGTAAAAATCATAGCGTTTGGAAACATAGTTTGATACTCCTCTTCATAAAGAATTAGACTAAGAATAAGATAATAAAACACAGATATTAAGATTATATTTAATAGTTAATGGATAAAATGGAATAAATATAATTAGAGATTAAAACTAAAGAATATATGTAGGATGTGGTGAAGAATTTGGATTATAAGAAAAAGATGAAATTATCATTCTATCAAATTCTAATTAAGAGACTTTAATATCATATATCATTCAAAGGTTTATTATTAAATAATTATGATTCCTATTAATTATTATAATTGTTAAGAATTAACATAAATTATAGGATCTCATTTTATTATTAATTTATTTTTATCTCTTATTAAATAATAATCATATAATTATCTTTATAAGAGATTTTAAAATCAAATCATAAATAATATTTTATGATAATATCCACTTTATTATACAAAATAAGAAATTATAAATATAAATTATCAAAATATGCTTTAAAAACTTGTTCCTTGTGTATTATTATACATTGGTTTGTTATTTTATAAATGTTATTATAGTTAATTTTATTTCTCTTAACATTATTGCTAGAATTCTTAATGATTATTTGTAATATCATTAAATATTGGTTATTATTAGAACATAAACTAATTATTGGATTAAAGTGGATTAACATACAATTAAACCAATTATCCTTCCCAATCAATATTAGTTCTAGTAATTCTTGGTGTTGAAGTATTAATTTATCTATAAACTTTATCAATTATGACACAAGAAGGATCATTCTCAATTAAATCAGGATCTAAATATGAATTATAAACGTAATATCCAACCTATAATATAGTTATACATTTAATAATTACTCTAAAGAATTCATGGTTTCTATATCTTACACTTAATATTATTGCTGTCGCGCCAAATAAATCTTCTTTACTTGGTATTAACTCTAATTTGGGACTGGAAGTCATTAAAGTAAACTGCATTGTCCCTTATTAAAGAGGAGGCATTGAAAATTGCTCTAATACTTGATCATACTTATCATTATTAGGAGACCCAATGTAAATAAGTCTAATATTTTATCATATTATACTTCCAATCTATTTCTTAATCTAATTGCCTCAACACTTCAAAAGTGATTTGCATTTAAATTGGAGTATTGAACAGAGCAGTACTTTGATCGAAAACAATATTTGTTATATTTATAAGTGCCATGAAAATTTAAATAATAATAAACCCTCGAAATTTAATATCAAATTTTAATCAACGTATTTATATAAGCATATCTCGAAAACACAACAAACAGCTTTCTATACCATACAAATTATGAATGATGAATTTGCATAGATCTCCATGCCTTAAAGATATTTAGATTCACCATTAGATTATCATTAAGGATAGAAGAGACAAAGAAATCTAAAATTGAACTATACTTTCTTAATATATTCGTGGTCTCTAACACAAATACCTTTAACTCTTCTGATCTTTTCATTGTTGATATTGCTTTATAACATGCAATATGATTTAAATGGCCTGAAACACCATGTTAATCAAATGTAATTATTCCCTTTATATTATTCTCTTCTATATAACTATATTAAATAAAACATATTACTTTTAAACAACATTTTAAATTTTTTCTATGGGCCACGTAGCATTCATTGAATCTTATAAATGTTCATCATTTATGATGGTTAACTAAATAATATAAATTAAGCACATACTTTTTTTATCTTCAAGTAATTACAACACTTTTCTAATTCTGATTCTCTAATTTTTCCTATCTTATTAGCATTTCCATTTGATAAACATATTAAATGAATTTAATAATTATTGTCATTCAAATAAGTAATAGTAGGTAAAAAAAACATGGCTTCATCATCAGGATGAGCAGTGACTAACAAAACAGATGTATTTTCCTTTTTCTAACATATTAATTATTACATCTTTCTCAATTTGCTATTTTTTGGATTTAAAATATAGCAAGATAAAAATTGTGATGAAGTTTGAAATTATTAATCCATACTTTAAAATAAAAAGCAAATCATCATCTATTATTTCTTCAATTATATCAAATAGTCCCATAATTAATGTTTAAAAATTAAAATTTAATATAAAAAAAATAGTATATAATGTATTTTTCTTAGATGACATTAATATTTACAAAAAAGATCCTTCTATTAAATCTTAATAGCTAAGATAACTGAATCATAACATTCTTTTCCTTTAATTTTAATGGCATAATTCAATAGTACTCTTAAAGTTCTTGCAAATCAAAATAAGAGTAGATATATATGGTTTGAAGTTAATAAATAACGAAAACTCTAAGAAAAGAAGAAGCTTGTTATTAAATAATTATTCAATTATTATCTAAATTTATTTAGAGCCTATGATTTATCTTAGAAATTATTGTAAACATTGCCAAAGGTCTATTTCAATAGTATTATATTAATGCCATTTATATTTATATTTAACAAATACTATAAGTTATGTAATAGTAATAGTAAATTAAAAAAATAGTTGAAAAGACTCTGTCAATTCCTTTTATTTTAATCTTGTAGTTTTACATTGATTAACCTAATACTTTTTGGTTTAATTTCTATAATTATTTTAAGAAAAAAAACAATTTGAGTATAAAGAATTTAATTTTTCAAGCATTTCTTTATGTCTTTTAGCCAAAAAAGCAGTAATCTTTTTTAGAATAATAAATTCAATTTAAAATTAGAACTATCGAAATTCTCCATTATATAATTTTTTTATTATTTTAATCCAACATACTATAAGTTTATATTGTTGGATATTTAAGTTTAATAAAATTAGAAACCTAATATAATTTGTCTAAATTTATTATTATAATTTAGAGATAATTATTTATATAAAAATAAATGGATTAATAGTAATTTGATTCTGAATTGTAAACCTATTTTCTACACATTAAACATGAAATCAAATAAGAACACATAGAATATTTGAAAAAGCATCCAGAATTAAATCAAATATTAAATGATTTCACAAGTTAGATAATTTTAGAGAAAGTAACTTTATAATAATATTTCAGCCAGATAATGTTTATCAATATGCTAAAGAATACTTTAGTTTCTTTAATCAAGAAAAAGATCTAAAGACTTGTAAACCTTTAGTTGTCTCAGGTGCAAGTGGAGTTGGAAAAGTAATTTTTAAATATTAATTGTACTTAATAGGGTACTTTGTTATAGATGCTTTTTAAATAATATCCACAATAATTTGTATTTAGTGTTAGCTATACAACAAGAGCACCAAGACCAGGTGAAGTTCATGGATAACATTATTATTTTGTTAGTAAAGAAGAATTTTAAAAGGAAATTGAAAAGAAAGCTTTTTTAGAATATTGTGAGGTACATGGAAATTATTATGGAACTCATTTGGCACAAGTACAAAAGGTAATGAAGTAAGGATAAGTATGTGTGATTGAGATTGATGTTTAAGGTGCTGAAAAGATTAACAAATCTATGCCTAATCAATGTAATTATATTTTCATTAATGCTCCTTCAAATGAAGAATTGAGAAAAAGATTAACTGGAAGAGGAACAGAGACAGAAGAGGTAATTGAGAAAAGAATGAAAAATGCTGAAAAAGAGATAGAGAAATCTCATTAACTAGGATTTTATAATGAATTGTTAAATGATGATTTGTAAAAAACTTTTAAGAAACTAATTGATCTTCTCAAAACCTTTTATGTTGATCTAAAATTATGAAATGAATTATAGAATATTCAAATTATACAATACAAAATGTTAAGATTATTCATCTATCATTCTTCCATTTATGACCACAATTTATGCATTCAAATGATATTGTACTTTATTCATCTGCTCCTCTTGTTTAGAATTCCCAAAAGTATGCTTTAAGACATCCACATTTATCACATTATTCATCTGTAATTTATTTATTTTATTATGGATATGTAATAGGAGCAGGCTTTTTAGATTAAAATGTTTTAGTAAGTCTCATTTCTTTTAATGGATAATAATAAATGCATCCAGGGCATTTTAATCTATATCCTGAACTAGATTCATTCTCTAAAGATAAAAAATTTGAGCAAACTGGACAAAAATTCATTAAGAAAAATAATTAATAATATAAATATATAATATAATTAAACAAATCAAATCAATTATTAAAAAACAAAGAAATAATAAATTACTATCAATTTAATTATCAAATAATACTTAAATTCAAAAATCTTAATATTACACTTGTTCTATTCTCTCAAAAGTCACAATCATATTCATTTTCAATTTGCCAACCATTCAAATTTTTAAAGTTCTCTCCAATAATTGTATTATGCCTTATTTTTTAAATTTGAGTTTTTTTTTCTAAATTAATCTTAATTGGTTTCTATAGCCAATCACACTTTTCTCTAATTACATTTATAAACTACCCAAAATTCTTTTTTAACTAGTTTCTGTAAAAGTGAAATTAGAACTTTTTTTTCTAGTGATTAAAGAATCTAGACTCTTATCAGGTTAATTTTATATTGAAGAAACTCTATGTCTTCTTATAATATTTCGATTATTTATGAAAATTTAGTTTAATTATTTAGTTGAAATACTAGAAGCTTTAAATTATAATTTATTATTCTCCTGCTTTTGTTTTCCATACTTTGTATATGAATTAATTAAATTTTAGGAACTTAAAATAGAAGGTGGTATGTGAGATGAATTTGATTTAGTAATTTATGTTTCTTAAATTTGTGGTTGATAGATTTTATGTTTTGTTTTTCTTCTCATTTAATGTAAGTAATTTATTTGGAAAAAATAAATCAGATCATCTGATGAGACATTTCTTTAATCACCCATTTCTATTAATAATAATTAAAAAATAAAATCATATTTAGAGAATAATTTTATATTCTTTATCTTAATTAAAATAGAATAATTTAGCATAAGAAATAATCATAATTCATTGATATAATTTTCAAGAATCTTGATAAATTCTTCAGTAGTTAAGAAATTTATCTTTTAATATTTATTTATATCCCAAAAATATTATACAAATTATTGATATCGATTGTATCCAACTTAATTATACTTCCAAAATTAAATTAAAGCTTTGCTGGTTGATATTGATGTTATATTTTTAGGCACTATATGTACCCTTCTTATGATTATTAGGTCCTTTTCGACTTTAATTATTTACAAATTAGTGTAAAAACCTCTCCTAATAGGCTAAAAGTATGATGATTTTATCTTGTGTTATATAGGAGCAGTAATTTTAATGTTTGAAGGAGACGTAGCAGGCTTCACTTAATCATTTATATGGGCTATATATGAAATTTCTTGTAAGACTTCTTGATTTATTATCATAATTATAATCTCCCATCCCAAGAGAAGCAGGGAAACAAAATAATCAAAATTTTTTAATTTTAGCGAATTTCTAAATTTCAGCCAAAGTGTTTTTGTGGATGCTTACACATTTTTTTATAAATATCATTTTTTAAATATATAATTAAAAATTAATATCAATAGAAATATTTTTTTTAATTAGTTTTGTATTTTTCTTTTTCAAAAATTCTCCAGCTTCCATTAATAGTTAATTAAACTACTTTTCTAATTCCTATTTAATTTTACTCTTCTTTTTTTTCCTCAAGTCTTAGATTATCTCCTCCAAAATCAAGGACTAATGTATGCTTTTAATGTGTTGAAAAGTCATCTGTTTTTGATGCATCTTACATATTTATTTAGGTCGTAATAACAATGATTTTAGATTATCCGGCAAATTTGAAACTCCAGTTATCTTATGCTTCCTTTAGGCTAACCAATCTGATTGTTAAATATCAAATGAGTTTTTGTATCTTAATTCCGATAATTGATTAATTCTCTCATCTTTGTCATCATATAAATGAGTTATATGCCCTATTAACGTTTCCAAGAACTCATTTTGAGTAATCTTAGGTAGGTACATCCATCCTTTTCCACAAAGAATGGAATAAATTCTATGTTTATTTAGTTTACAGTTTCATTATAGGGATCAAGTATAGAAAATGAGGTCTCATGTAAGCTGTCCATAATAAAAGCCTATTGTTATAGTTTATCTTAGTGAGGATATGAGAGAATTAATATTTTAAATAAATCATCCTTTATTAAAGACTTTTGATATGAGGTTCTATTTCTCCCTTGGCATTAATATCAACTTCTAAATATATGTAGTGATATTCAAATGGAATTCCTTCAATTATCTACCCTTACACAAAGGTTTTCTTCTTAATTTTAGTAAGATGATGGTACATTTTTTCTTGTTTAACAAGAGAGATTATTTGTCTGATACTTATTCAAGTCCTTTTATAATTTATCTTGTATATATATCTGAATATAGAATCACTAGGTCATCTGCATAGAAGTAGTACTTATCAAAATGTTTCAATATATCAACTTTTTTGCATTCTTAAATGAAGATTTCTGTATAAATTGCGAATAGATAAGAAGAAATAATATTACCTTAAGGGACTCCATTGTTAAAACTGTATTTCTTACCATTACTGATGATGTACTGATGAGAAATTAATGCTTTGATGAACTCAATTTCTTGATTTCTTAGTATTTATTATTAATAGAGTTGGTCATAAAGTAGATCAAGGTTAGTTGTATTATAGGCAGATTTAAAGTCCACAAAAAGTATTTACTTATTGTCAAAACGTTTTTAAGCTTTAATATCCCTTATGAGATTTAAGATTAAAACATGAGTATTAAAAACTTTTACAAATCCTACCTGTTGCTTTAATAACCTCTATTGACAGTATTAACTAAGTGCAAATTCAAATCTCAGTTCAATTCACTTATAAATAGGGCTGAGCATAGTGATAGGCTTAAATTCTTAGTGATTGGGTATATTAGCAAAATTTTTATTCAAAGGTACAATTCTAAATTCACAAAAGTTGGGGATAATCTGACTAATGCTAGTATTCCAAACGTCATTCAAAATTTGATAAGTGCCATGATTGAATATCCAATAATCTGATATTAGCATTTCGGTTATTACTTTCTTATTGCTAATTTTTGCTTTCATATGCTTGAAGTTATTAAAAGTTATTGATTCTAGTATTGGTAGAGGCAAAGGTTTGTATTCCATTAACCCTTATAATTTGCCTAGAGTGTTTATCACGTTTTCCTTTACTTAATTTTCATCAGTTATCAATTCATTTAAATTATTGATATAACAGTTCATAATTCCACCTTCTCTGGGTTACTTATCAGTAATTTTTGAAGTAAAAAATAGACTGTTTTACTTTAATTTGTCCCTAGGTGATTATTAATTTTATTTATCATTTTTTAAAGGGAGAGGCTATATGTTTTATCTATTCCAGACCTATTCTTCTTTTATAGTAAATTTAAAACTAGTGAAGACATTTTTTTATGTTTTCATAAACTCGGATAAAGAATTGCTATTAGTGAATTTTAAGTTAAGTCTATAGACTTCTTGTTTGTTTAGTATAAATTAAAATTTCTTAACGTTTTTTAAATTGTTGCTGAGATTTAGTTCACACTTAATTAATATATGATCAAATAATATATCGTTAAAGTAGTAACTATAGGAGTATTCCTGATTGTGAAAATAAGAAAATTATCAGTTCGAAATGTTCTTAATTTACCTTTGACAGTTCTCATAAAGGTCCATTACTCATTTGGAATAATTTATGTTAATCCATGAAATAAGAAATTAGGTAAGTTAACATCACCTACTAATAAAAGCAATTATTTTGGTTTCCTTATTTACAAATTAATATAAAAGTTTTAGATTTTTTATTAATTCTTTTTGAGCTCTTACGTTTTTGAGGAATATAAATTAAGCACAAATATTTCAATCTTATGATTTACCCATTACAACAAGATAAATTCTATATTCAATAAATCCATGCAGTGAGAAATATCTCTGCTGGTAAACTGCTTATGAACGCCTACGCAAACTCCGTCTCCTTATGTATTTGATGATCTGAGTTTATTAAAGAAATTATATAAAGGACTTGATTTTATTTTTTATCTTGTTTCTTGAAGACAAATTATATGGGGACGCTAAATTAATTTATCATATTTTAATATGAGGGTCAGATTTTAATAAGATCT